CCCCGTTCCCTTCCCCTTCTCTTTCCTTTCCCTTCTTTCCCAGGACTGGGGAGTTAATTCAGGGCTTCCCCGCTGCTGCTAAATTGCCCAGTCTCAGCCTGAACTTGAACTTGCATCTCAGAGTGTGGGATTACAGGTGGTGCCACAGTGCCTGGCTGCCTGTTAGGGTTTAAGGCTCAGTGTCAATGTCACAGTTTCTGGGAATTCCTTGTGCTACTTCCTCCTTTCTACAAGTTAACTTCTGGGTTTCCCCTCAGTGGTTCCGTGAACCCTCTGGGTACATCCATTATATAATCTGTCACACATTATAATGTACGTGTATTTAATACAAGAACACAGAGTTTTTGGGCTGGGTATGTAGCTCAGTGGTAGAGTGCATATGTACCGCCTACCATGCACAAGGCCCTGAGTTTGACCTCTAGTCCTGCAACAAATAACAGAACTGCCAAATTTTCAAAGATGTAGACATTTTTCTATTTTTTGTTTCATGTTTAAACAGCCAATGCACAGTAAAACCTCCATGAAGTTTAATAAATCATTCACGTGGTGAGAGGCTCTGTCATTTCTCCTTAGATCAACTTATTTGGATCACAGAGGTTCCTTCTGGAAATAAGCCATACATTGTTGGCAGCTGTTGGTACACTGCTGCCTTCCCAGTTTCTTTGAAGAAGATTGAGGAGATAGTAAAGGACCAAATTAAAATACGTTCTGTTTGAGTTTTTCAACCTGTGAGAGGTGTGTGTCTCTTCATACATGTGTGCATCTTTTGTGTTGCTGCAGTTTTTCTGAGTCAAACACAGAAGTTCTTTAACTGTAGGTTGAAGTTGGTGATGGTAGCAGTTGTCATAGTAGTAGTGATAATAAAAGCCGGAGCAGGTGACGTATATTAAGCTCCGACAGTATGCCAGATACTGTTCGAAGAACTTACAGTTAATTTGTTTCATCTTCACAACAACTCTACGACACAGATCTTCTCCTGTCCTCCTTTTTCAGACGTGGACGCGAGGTGTAAAGAGACGGGGCTGGGTTGTGCTGACGCAGGGTTCACACGCAGACAGCTTGACTCCGTAGCGTACACCTTGCAGCACCACGCTACCCTGTTCCTGCGTGTTGTTCGTGGGAAGGAAAACCTCTGCTCACCACTGGTTGCCTTCCATTTCTCATGTGATTCCTTTCTCATATGATTTATTGATACCACCTTTTTCTTTGCCATTTAGGTCATAGTAGCCAAAAGAATCTGAAATCTGTAGGTCCTTTTCCAAACTTAGTGTAATGAGTTAATTTTGACTTTTTAATCTTTTGAATCTTTTTTTCTAGGACTGCTATTGAGCAGTGAAATAAAATGATTAAGATTTTATGTCCTCTTTCTTCCTGGACTCATTTGATGAGATGCAGTTGAAGTGACTAAAGAGCAAGTGTCAAGAGGCCAGGGAGAAATAAAATGTTGTAGAAAATCAGCAAGTTTATTAATTTTCATACATAAGCTGGGCCTGGTGGCACACGCCTATAATCCCAGCACTCGGGAGGCCGAGGCAGGTGGATCATTGCAAGTTCAGGACCAGCCTGGGCCACAAAGTGAGTTCAAGGCCAGCCTGAACTGCATAGCGAGACCCTGCCTCAAAAAGACCAAAAAATAATAATAATAATAATAATAATTTTTGTGCATTTTTTGTTTATTGGCTACTTTATTTTTTTATGAATAGTTCATTCTTGTATTTCGCTGCTCTTTTACTCATTTTTACTTTGAAAATTTTAAATCTGTAGAAAAATTGAACCAGCAGTTTGGTGAGCACCCACTTCTGTTATTAGATTCGGTAATTAACATTTTGTCCCATTTATTGCTCCCTCTTATTTTTCTGTCATATTTCTTTATATGACTCTTTATCAGCATGTAAATCCTAAAAAGTAGGGCAGTTGACATAACCTAAATACCATTATCACAACTAAGAAATTTAACATCAACACAATATTATCTAAGCATCCAAGGGCTGGAGGTATAGCTCAGTGGTGGAGCACTTGCCTAGCATGTGTAAGCCCGTAGGTTCAAGGCTTAGTACCAAAAAACAGAAGTTATCAGCAATCATTCTTCCATTTAGCTGGCATGTGGTAGTGCATGCCTGTAATCCCACAGGTCAGGAGAGTCGGATAGGAAGATTACCACCAGTCTGAGGTTAGCCTAGGCTACATAGTGAATTCAAGGCCAGCGATACAGCTCTGTTCCTGGAAATCCTGGCCTTGAATACAATAGGAATGGTTCCTCTGTCCTCATCAGCAGGACTTTCGCACCTTTGTCACTGGGCCAGGAAATGTATTGCAGGTTATTTCTGCAGTGTGTTACTTTCCTCATTACTTTTGCTTGGTGGTCACTTTTCGTGGTATTGTGAAGTTTTTTCCCTTCCAAACATAGGAAGTCAGTACCTTTTTAACTTTAAACTTTAAAAAAAACCAAACATATAATGTTTACTATAAACATTTTCAAACCAGAAATGTATAAAATGGAGGGTTGAATTACTGTATAATTTTCACTCTACTCCATTCTGAGATTGCTACTCTTCAGCTTGTTATATATTCTCCCAATATCTTAATTTTTATTTTGAATTATGCAGTGTGTGAATATGTGAAAGAATGCCTGTTTATTGGCTACTTTATTTTTTTATGAATAGTTCATGTTTGATACATATTCTCCCAATATCTTTTTATGAATAGTTCAAGTTTGGTACATATTCTGCCAGTATCTTAATATTTATTTTAATTATGCAGTATGTGAATATGTGAAAGAATGCCTGTAAAGTGCACACAAGCTGGCGTCAGTGGAGCTAGCATTTAGCAGCACAGTGCCTGTCATCTGTCTTCTCGTTTAGTTAGTAATGTGCTCTAAACTTCTGAGACTCACACTGCTTGCGCGACAGGATTGTTTCCCCTCTGAGACTGAATTGCAGAAATAGCGGCATAATCTTTGGTTTCGTAGTCGCTCTCTACTGTGTTTAGATAGTGACAGAGTAATACTGGATGTTTGCTCTTGAGAGACCTCATCCACTTGGGTTTCAGATAAAGAAACATTGGTTTTTCAGGAGTTGTAGTCTGGGAGAGAGTGTAATTCGCTGTATTTGCAGAAGATGGCATCCTTTTTCTGTGGTTTGGAAATTGCTTCAGAGTTTTTAGACACCTAGGATGCTTTCGTAAATAAGAATACTAAACGTATTCAGGCAACTACTATGTAAAGTCGGCAATGATTAAAGGTATATTAGCTGTATTCTAAGGTCATTTGTAAGCATGAGGATGCTCGTGATTTACTTAGTAGAATAGTAGAAATGATAGCCCTTCCTTAGCAGTTGTAAGACAGAAGGACAGACGTCATACTTTTTCTTCATTTCTCTTGTGAGCCTTTGAGACTCCAGACCAGCGTCACAGAAAGCAAGCCCGGAGCTCCTGAGCTCCAAGGCCCTTACCTGCTGCATGAGCAGATAGGTGAGGCCATGTATTTGCAGGGGCCAAGGAGGAATTAGTGAGAGGATGCACAATCAGAAGACCTGGGTCATAACCTAGACTCAGGTTGAAAGAGGAAAATACACAGAAACTGAAATGTTATTTGAATGTTACTTATTATTATCCTTCTCAGGTGCATAGTAATAATCTGGGCATTAAGAGAGAAGTCCTACAGTGGCAGAGTAACAGATGGTTAAGAATGGCATAAAGTTGGTTCAAGAATGCTTCCCCAGTGGACACATGCCTGTGATCCTAGCACTGGGAAGCTGAGGCAGGAGGATTGCTGGAGTTTGAGGCTAGCCTGGGCTACAAAGTGAGTTCAAGGCCACTTGAACTGCATAGTAAGACCCTGCCTCAAAAAGAAAAGAAAAAGAATGCTTTCCAGAGAGGTGAATTTAGAAATGACTTTTGCTCACTTTTTTTTTTTCTTTTTTTTTTTGGTCATTTTGAGACAGGGTCTTGCTATGCAGGCTGGCCTTGAGCTCACTTTCAGCCCAGGTTGGTCTCGAACTCACAATAGTCCTCTTGCCTCAGCCTCCCGAGTGCTGGGATTACAAGTGTGTGCCACCACACCTGGCTCTAGAAATGACTTTTGAAAGAACTAATTGAAATGTGTTGATGGAAATATTTTTTCATAGTGTAGGGTAAATGAAAAGTGAAAGGAAAGGATTTGAAACGCATTACAGCTTGGAGGCAGTATAGTGACATCGTAGTTGTGCTTGCTGATTTGCTGGAGGATTTAGGTCCCCACCCCCCCAAGAGTCAAGATGTACATGATTGGCCCCATGTGGGGGATTTATCCCTGTGGTAGCCTTTTCTCCTCTTCATCTCAGTGTCTAATGTCCTCTTCAGCATTGGTTATCTTTTGCCTCTGAAATCCATTATTGGATTGGAAGTTTTGTGCCATTTAAATTTTTGGTGATTAAAATATGGTTGCTATAATGCAAGACCTATTTCTCAGCAAACAGAAGTGCAAACCTATGTCACTGATGACTTATTTACTATGGACCACATCCTTGAGGAAAATAGGATTGCCTGGCCCGCTGGCCTTTACACTATAGAGTCTTTTTTTTTATTTAAATAGAAACA